AATTGAAGATTTTTGTTGAAACATTAGTTATGGTTGTATTGCTTGACTGAGACATAAAACCTTCAAATATATTATGTTTTGTACGTATCAAATGACTTCAATAATTAAGAGATAATTATTTTCTATTGAGATCTTAAATTCGAGCATAATGTATACAGAAATATATAAAAATCCGGGTTATTCTATTGGGTCAAAAAACCTTTTTCCTCAATAAGGCAGCTCAATTATTTTTTTCAAAATAGTGCGCATACACTTTTATTTTGAGATTTATGGTATTTTCTGCCGTGTATGAAACTCGTCACGTCAAAGTACTGATTTGTGGTGGAGGAAGCAGCCCATGTCGTTTGGTTTGTTTTAAAATGGTTTTTAATCATAATTTGTTTATTTTATATAAAAGATGTAATTTAAATTTAAACTCGAAAATGAATAACTACACCTTTTTTACAAGATAAAAAAGTTTGTTTAATCGAGAAAACTGATCGAGTCAATTTCAAATATTATTGAGTTAGATTTAATTTAGAAGATTTAAAATTGAGTTCAACTCTACTCGAAAATTGATAAGGTTAAAATTATCAAGTTTAACTTAAAATAAAAAATGAAGCTCGATTCGAAACTTCGAGAGCTTAAAATTTTCAAACTCGACTCAAAATAAAAAATCGAAGCTCACCTCGAGCTCGAAACTTTTTTACTTAATTTTAGTCGTTATTATTTTTTAAATATGTACAGTTATAAAATGAAAGACACGTTATAATTTAATGAAAATCACATTTCATCTCATATACTGAATATGATAAAAAAATTATTAATTTTTTTTGTAAATAGTTAATTATTATTATTTAATTTTTATTATTTTTATTAAATATTTCAAATTTTAATATATTAATTTTTTAATCATACATGATAATGATTGTATATTGGAAGTGTTTATTCATAATACTAAGATAATCGTATTGCCTTGTATTTGGAATTATTTAGCATATGATGGATTTGGGTATGTATCACAAATGATTGGGGGCTATAAACTTCAATCCACCCTCATTTCTGTAATAGTCGAGATGTGGAGAACAGAGACATACACGTTCCATCTTCCGTGTAGGGAGTACGCCATTATTCTGGAAGATGTTTCAATGCAACTAGAACTCCCGGTAGATGGACGAGACACACACGTTCCATCTTCCGTGTAGGGAGTACGCCATTATTCTGGAAGATGTTTCAATGCAACTAGAACTCCAGGTAGATGGACATGTTATTATTGGCATGTGTACCTTGAGTATCTAAGAAAGTCCTTAAATTCGTTCAACGAATGGTTGAATCTCATTAACATGGATTCAAACCAATTTTCGAGAGTAGGATGAAAATTGTTATGAAGAGGGGACAAAAAATAGTTGCTCGGACATATATTTTTTACCACTCATAGGAGGGATCTTGATGCTCAACAAATCTTGCAACCAAGTTCATGTTATGTGGTTGCGTCAGTTTGTTACTTTTGAAGAAGCCAACAGGTTCAGTTGAGGGTCGACAGTTTTAGTATTTTCCTTTTGAGAAATGTATCGAATGACGAATTAAAACAAAAATAATGTTGACAGTTGTCTCATTTTTATACAATATTGGGTGTGGTATCACATGTATTTTATGTCCGTTCGTGAACGAGCCATTTGTTCTCTCCTTCTTACTAAGGTAATTTCAACACTTTATTTATTTATAAATAAGTTTATTTTTTATTATATAATTAATTAAAATATTTTTTTTATATTAAATATGTGATAATAAATAAAAAAACCATCGTGATAATTGTTGGGATACTAAGCTTATAGTTTACCCCTATAATTATTATCAATTAGAAGACGTAGGGTTATTAATAAAGTAAAAAACAAATTCAGATGTGCGCTTTTAATTATTAATTCCTTTATTTAATTATCGTTATAATTAGAATCTCATTTAAATGTTGATAATAAATATATTTTTTACAGTTCCGATAGATGCCTTATAGGAATGAAGACCCGAGAGCTTGCATCACACCCTACTTGAGTTGTACATTAGACAAATGGCTTGCGGTTATGCCTCTTATCTGTTACGCTACTATTTAGTGGCATCCGAGTGACCGTGTGCTTCGTCAGTTTGGTTTCACACAGTTTATTCGGGTAGTACCCGTGAGCTTCGACAATATGCATAACCATAATAGAAGAGGCAAATCTGGTGGTGAGTAGAGAGAAAACACAAAGAGCGGATAATGAAGAGATTTGTATGAACGCATTCTCGTTCGCCATTATATTTCAAAAACTGGTTTAATAATTTCACCTGAATATATTTCATGGTTCAATAAAAATGGAAAGTCGTCCATACTTTTTGAGGATGCACTAGGTAAGTTTACTCATCGTCTTTAGAAAAAAAAACGTTCACCTACACAATATTATCGTCCTCCAACTAATCGTGGACGAAGAACAAACACTTTTCGGCCCGTCTCCACCTCTCCACACCAATGCTGATTACCTTAAAAAGGAAAACCCATGTTATGTTCATTTCTTCATTGTTAAGCTTCCATTTTCCTTTCATCTCTGTTTCAAGCAAAAGAATCATACCTAATCCCTGTTGGGTTCTTTGCCATCTTAAGGTTTCTCTGTGTTTCCTTTTGAATTTAAAAAGGAAAAAGGGACAGTTTTTTGAAGATCAAGTGAAAAAAATGGGAGGAATCAACCATTCTATTGGATTCAACAATGTCGTCGATGTTGGGTCATCGTTATCACAGGTCATATTATCAGGCGGCACGAATAAGTTAGATACATTCTTCTCACATCGTCCACCGCTGTCGACCGCCATTAACGAGCCGTTAGGTTCATCGGTCTATCTCCGGCAACGAGATCTCCTCCAAAAATTCTGCCGAGAATACAGAGGGTACAAAAACCCTCCATTGACGACCAATTACTTGAGCCCTCGAAAGAAGAAGCTATACAGAGACATAGGCAATGGGGCAAATGGGTAGCTGAAATCAGACTCCCGCGAAACAGAGTGCGTGTCTGGTTAGGCACTTACGACACCGCCGAAACCGCCGCTTATGCCTACGATCGCGCCGCGTATAAGCTTCGAGGAGAGTACTCGAGGTTGAATTTCCCAAACACGAAGGACGTGAACGAGTTGGGATTTGCGGACCGTGCTAAGCTGAACGCTTTGAAGAACACGGTGGACGCTAAGGTTCAAGCCATTTGTCAAAAAGGTGAAAAGGGAGAAGAAAGCTAAGAATAATGCCGGAGTTCCCGAGCTAACTTTGTCTAGTTCGCCGCCGCCTTTGGGTTTTGGCGATGAATTAACCAACGAATCGGCGACATCGCCGTCACCGTCTTCTGTTTTGAATGATTATCCGACGACTATTACGGAGTAGCCGATGTTTGAAGATTGTTCGCTTGCGAGAATGCCGTCTTCTGATGCTGAGTCGTTTGGGAGATTCTTGCTAATTAGGATAATGATTCTTATACAGAAAATGAGTGTACATTACATGCACCAACCGATATATATTGATATAAATTTATAAATAGTCATTTAATTTTTAGAAAATTATAAAATGAATATTAAATTTTAGATTTCATTAAAAAAATATTGACATTTAAGTATGTTAAGGGCTAATATCACATATTAAACTAATAAAAATATCTCATTTGCTCCATCAATTGTGACAAAAATTTTATTTTTAACATTTTCAATAATTTTAAGTAATAATTTCAAAAAAAATATACAAATATTTTTTAAATATATGGATTTTCAAAAATTTATTTTTGAAATCATAAATATATTTTTAAAATCATATTTAAACTATTAAACAAAAGTTAAAGAATTGAATCATATTATGTAATAAAAAAATATTTCTTTTTTATAACTGAAATTGTTAGATCTCAAAAATTATAAATTATAAATTTTAAAAATGAATCGTGAATTCATATATGTATGTATATATATTTAAAAAATTGATATTTAGAATTATTACTTCGAAATATTAAAAATATCAAAATGAAATTTAGTTTACAATTGATTGTTCGAATGTAATTTTTTATTAATTTAACATGTTATGTTATCCCTTAAATGATAATTAAAGATGTGATATTCATTTTGTAATACAACTTAGGGATTGAATGAGATATTATGTAACTTTTAAAAATTCAATGTTCAAAAGGATTATTTTAGTATAATAAATTGACCTTTTAAAAATATTACCCTACAAAATTAGTGGTGCATTTCGAGCATGCATTCTAGAATTTTCCCTAATATAGGACTGTACGGGTATAAACCAACGTAATTGAAATATTCGTAAATCATTTGTATAAAAGTCTATTTATTAATTTAAATAAATAAGTATGAATAATTTTTTTATGTTCATTTAATAAACGAACTGATATAAATATTTCTAAAAATAAATAAATGGACATGAGTATTAAGGTTAAGTAACAAAACTGAGAAAACTAAAAAAATCAATCCAAATCAAACTATGCAGTTCAATTTGGTTTGATTTTTTCAATTTACTGTTCGGTTTCGATTCGGTTTTACACAATAAATATACAATTCAATTTGGTTTCGTTTTTTCATATAGAAACCGTTTGAACCGGAATAAAACCGAATTGAAAAAAAGAAATAAATATCCAAAATAAATTCATTTTGAATTTATTATAAGACAAAATTAAATAAATAAAATCTTAAAACTAAATAATACTTTTTTTATAAATTTAAATTTATATATTTACACTCGATTTAAGTTTTAAATTTGTTTTTTTAGGTTGAGCTTAAAAAATAGTGAACAATCAAAAATCGCAAAACCAAACTTGCCATTTGGTTGTTTCGGTTTCAATTTTTAAAAACTCAACAATACGGTCCAATTCATATTTTAATGAAAAATTAAACCGAATCAAATACATCCCTAATGAACATAAATGTTAAAAAATTATACAGACATAAATAAAATGACACCTTAAAGAATAAACAAACTAACAAAAATATAATTTTATTTGCAAACTACGTTGATTGACCCCCTATGTAGAAGATATGCTCAAAAACCGATATTTTCCCCTAATAAACGGTTATACCGTATGTTTATCTTTACAGGCAAACTAAGTTTTATGAAACACAAACTGACTAAACACACAATACCTGAGAATGCTTATTAAAAAAAGAGGGGGTAAACAATGAAATAATGAAAAGTAAGACCCCAATGGACAATATGAGAAATAAGAAGAATACCTCTAGGCTGTCCTCTGGACTCTGATAGTTTTAGACATGATTTCTTTGAGATGATCGCAGCGGCTGCGGTGATAATCGATCCACAAGCACAGCTGCCTGATGGCCTCCCTCTTCTCCTCTCCCAGTCCAAGTAGGCCTTGATCCTTCTCTTTCATCATCTTCTCCAACAATTCCACCTTCTTCTCCAGCTGATCCACGGCTTTCACCAGATTCTCCTTCTCGCCTTCTTCCTTGTGTGCCTTAATCCGTAGTTTCTCCGCCTGCTCTCGAAGCGTAGATTCTTCTTCTTTCAGAGCTTTCAGTTGCCCGATCATGTTGGTCGCTTCATTCGTTAGCCGTTTCTTTTCACTCTCCGTCTCTTCAACCCAACGCCTTGCGATCTTCAGCTCTTTCGATGTTTGTTCGATGCGATGCTCGTAGTTTCTACACCCCTTTTCGAATTTATCGATGATTGATTCGAATCCAATCAATGTACTATTCACATTCTCAGAGATATCTTTGATCATCCTGCTATAGGCTTCGTTATTCGTGACGATTATTCCAGACAATGTTGAGACCTTTTCTTCAAGCAGTCTTTGTTCTTCCTGGTATTTTGCTTCCGCTTTTCTGTAGCTCTCTTCGTTCTCGGTTAGCAATTGTTCCGTGACTCGAAGTTTCTGGTTTGACAGCCGGAGCTTAACTTCGATATTGCTGACCTTCTCAACCAAGCTACTGAGCTCATCTCCTTTCATTTCTACATCTCTTTTCAAGTCTTCAATGGTTTGCTCCAACTCGGCAACTATTTCATCCTTCGATTGAATGCTCGTATTGTGCTCTCCTGCCATTTCTTGCATCTTCTTTTCTGTGAATTCAATGGTTGCATTGCACTCCCCGAATGAATTTTCAAGTTGTTTGTATTCCTCGTTTAGCTTGTTAAAGGCATCATCTTGTTCTTTTAGCATTCTTTGATGATCTGCAATCTGATTGACGAGGCCATTTTTCTCATATTCCTTTGCTTGAAATACTCGTCGGAGGTTCTCGACTATTTGCTTCATATCAGCTGCCACCTGACTTTTAGATTCGATGTTTATATGGAATTCTTCAGACAATTCTTTCAGTTTCCTTTCCGCAAGTTCAAGATTAGCCTTGCACTCTTGGTATAAGCCCTCAACCTCTTTGTATTCCTCAGCCAACTTCTTATAGGCCTCGCCCTGTTCTTCTAGTGTTCTCTGCTGATTGCTAATTTGGCTTTCCAGTCCGGACTTCTCGTTCTCAAACCCGATCAATCTTTCTGATGATTCTTGTTTCTCTCTCTCAAGCTGCAACTCTAGTTCATTTCTCCGGGTCTGTAACGAATCCAACTCCTGCTGCAAGTTTTTGACCTGTGCCACTAGGGCATTGAACTCGAGCCCTTTTTCTGCCAATGATTTCTCTAATTCAAAGATTTGATTTTGTAAACCCACCAATTCCTCCCTCAGCTGGCCGTTCTCTTCGATTTTCGTTCTCAAGTCCTCTTCCAGTTCACCTTTCTGATTCTTAAGAGAATTGACCTCAGATTCTAGTTCCTCCGTATGTGCCAGCAAGCCCTCTTTCTCCAGCAGAACTCTTTGTTGATCCTCAGTCTTGCTTACTATCTCTTCTTTTGACTTTTCTATTTCAATCACAAGATCTGAAACAACTTGAGTTTTACTCTCAAGCTGAACTTCAAGTTCTGCTTTCTGGCTATGCAGGGACTCCAGCTCCTGCTGCAATGTATTTATCTGATCCATCAAGCTCTTTACCTGAGTCGACGTTTCATCGCCTTTTACTACAATATGCTCTTCCAACTGAGCTTTCTGAGTCCGCAACAACTCCATGTCTACTAGCAGGTTATTAATCTGCATTGTCAAATTCTCCACTCTAGACAATGATTCTTTCTCCTTGTCCTCAAAATTATTTGTGAGAATCAAAAGTTCTTCTTGTCTCTGCTTTGATATCATCTCTAGTTCTGAAATTTGGGATTGCAGTGCTGTATTTTCCTCCCTCAACTTGCCGTCCTCTTCAATTTTCGTTCTCAAGCCCTCTTCCAGCTCACCTTTCTGATTTTTCACAGAATTTAACTCAAATTCTAGTTTGTTTATTTGTGTCAAAAAACCCTCTTTCTCCTGCACCATTCTTAGCTGATCCTCGGTCTTGCTTACTATCTCTTCTTTTGTCTTTTCTACCTCGATCACATAATCTGATATATCTTGGTTTTTCCTCTCAAGCTGCACTTCCAATTCTGCTTTCTGGTCATTCAGGGACCCCAGCTCCTGCTGCAAAGTATTTATCTGATCCATCAAGCTCTTGACCTGAGTCGATGCTTCATCGCCTTTCACTACAATATGTTCTTCCAACCGAGCTTTCTGGGTGCGTAATGATTCCATGTCTGCTACCATATTGTTGATCTGCAATGTCAAATTCTCCACTCTAGATAATGATTCTTTCTTGTTATCCTCAAACTTCATTGTGAGTGTCGACAGTTCTTCATGTCTCGTTTTTGATATCATCTCGAGCTCTAAAATTTGGGACTGCAGTACTCTATTTTCCTCCCTCAGCTGACCGTCCTCTTCGATTTTAGTTCTTAAGTCCTCTTCCAATTCACCTTTCTGATTCCTTAGATAATTGACCTCAAGTTCTAGTTCCTTCGTTTGTGTCAGCAAACCCTCGTTCTCCTGCAGGACTCTTTGCTGATCCTCAGTCATGATTAATATCTCTTCTTTCGCCTTTTCTATCTCAATCACATAATCTGAGATAGCTTGAGTTTTACTCTCAAGCTGAACTTCCAGCTCTGCTTTCTGGCTATGCAGGGACTCCATCTCCAGCTGCAAGGTATTTATTTGATCCATCAAGCTCTTGACTTCAGTTGATGCTTCATCACTTTTCAATGCAATATGTTCTTCCAACTGAGCTTTCTGTGTGCGTAGTGACTCCAAGTCCGCTACCAGATCGCTGATCTGAATTGTCAAATTTTCCACTCTAGACATCGATTCTTTCTCATTGTCCTCGAATTTCTTTGAGAGAGTCAAAAGTTCTTCTTCTCTCTGTTTTGACATCATCTCGAGTTCTGAAATTTGGGATTGCAGCCTTATATTTACCTCTCCCAGCTGTTTCACTTCACTTGCTTTGTTCTCTATCTGAAGCTCCATATCTCTGTTTGTTGTTCGCAATTGTTCCAATTCGAGTTCCAAGCTTGTCACCTGTGCCTCTACTTCTTTTATCTTAGCAGATGATTGGTTCTCATGCACTTCATGCAATTCTTTGAGCATCACAAGTTCCTTTTCTCTGTCACCCAGATCCGCCTTCGATTGACTAATTTCAGCCATCAGTCGTTGTATTGTGCCCTGTGCCAGCTGAATCCCATTTGAAACCTCAGAGAGCTTCGAGTTCAATGAGTTATTCTCTTCCATCGTGGCATTAAGACTCTGGCTCACTCCCGAAGCTCGCTGTTCCGAAGATTCCAGCTGTTGCTGCACACTGAAAACTTCCTCTCTGACACTGTCTAGCTCTTGCTTTAAAGTTAAATTTTCCTCCTTCAGCAAACCAACTTCTCTCCTAAGATCTTCTGCAAGCTTCTCGCCATCTTCAATTCTTTTAACAGAGGCCTCTTTCTCTATAATTAATTGACTGTTTTCTCTATGCAACTCCTCCAATCTTTGGTTCACCTCGGCTTCCATCTTAGCAGCAGTGTCCAGCTTCTGCCTCAGCTCTTCATTCTCAACCACATGTTTTGATTTTTCACTCTCTGATCTTTCAGATTCAAGCTTTAGATTTGTGATGATTTCCTCTGCTTCTTGCACCTTGCTTAAAGAAGCTAGATAATTTGAATTCAAAGCATCTTTTTCTTCACTTGTATCTGCCAGCTTCCGCTTAAGATCAGCAATTTCCAGATTTGCAGCTTCAAGTTCTTGTTTAATGCCTTCATCTATTGCATGAAATTCTCTCTCCAAGATTCCATTTTTACTGCCCCCATTTTTTGTAGAGCTATCGGAGTCTGATTCCGAGCTTGACGAAGAGGATGAATCTTTATCTAGTTTCCCATGAGCTTTTTTCCTCAGCTCCCCTGTGAGATGATCATACTGTGCATAGAGGTTCTGGTAGTGTTCGTGGAAATCCTCGATTAACCGAACAAGAGGTTCCTTCTTGGAGTTGGCTATTGGAACTCCATTTTCTTCAGCATCTTCATCCTTAATGAGCTTCAATATTGTTGCCACATTTTCATCAATTTCTGCAGTGAAGGGATTTTACACTTGAGATTAGAAAAGGTAAATCAAAAGTTGAAAACCATGTTAAACCGCCTGTGCCATTTCAAGTCTATGTTACTCAGACTCAAGTGTGTAATATGGGCATTTGGAGGGCCTAGAAATAAAAAAAAAAGTGTAATATGGTCAAATCAAAAGTTGAAAACCATGTTAAACCCATGTTCGAAAATGTCTGGAACAAGGGTGTCGAGCATGAGTAGTCAAGATAATGAAGAGCAGTCAAAGTAACCAGTGAAATAGAAATTGCACCCAAAAGAAATAAAAGTAGATGTAGAAAATTACCTATTTTACTTCCTTTAAGCTGCTCATCCCTTTCTGGATCGACATGATACGCAAAGAAGGACTTTATAGACTCTCTAAAACGATGCCTGGTCATCTCTTGTCAGATTACCTACCAATTTTACTCAGCAAGCGGGCATGAAGACGGTGCAATCTCCATCTCAAGCATGAAACCTGAAAAGGGAATAATTAAGGATACTTTGTAATTAGTTTCAAATTATGCCAACCAAAGACAATACAACACAGCCCTAGCTAGAGAAGATTGATTGCAGAAGTTGCAAACAAATAGTGTCATGAGAACCCTAAACTACTAATCATCCAATTAAGCACTTAATTAAAACAATTTAAGAAAAAGTATACTGGTATTATATTGACTAAAAAAGTGATGGCATTTTCTGGTATTCATGTTTCCAAACTCACTCCCCCTATATTAAAGAGTCTTGGCTAAGACTAGCCGAGTCAAGCTTGAGTATTGCTGAGCTAGACTTGACTCGAAAACTCTAAAATAGAGTTCGACTCAGCTTGAAAACTTGCGAGCCTAAAATTTTCAAGCTCGACTCGAACTCGAAATTATGAATTGAAGCTCAAAAAGCTCACCAGAACTCGAAATAAAAAAATAAACTTAACTCAATTGAAGCTCAAACTCAAACTCGAATCTAAACCTTAAGTAGATGAAAATCTTCTACTACATTTAAAAAAATAAACACATAAATATTAATATCACTAATAATTTAATTTTTTTTAAATTTAATATATAATTTTTTCGAATTGCTCACGAACTTTTTAAGTTGAATATCAAATAGTTTATTTTCGACTCGTTAAGAACTTGAATCGAGCTCGAGTCAAGTCCATTTGAGTCAAATATTTATCAAGTATTGATCGAGTCAATCTTGAGTAGCTCACGATCTATATCGTCTCATTTATAGCCCTAATATCGCCGTGAACTTGACACCAAGTCACCATCAATGAACGGAGTGCTACTTTCTAAAAAACGAAAATCAAATCCAAACTATTGGGCAATTCAACTTAAAATGGCAAGATCTCAAACCGATTTTTTTTTTCCTCTCAAGTGGAAAGTTGGGGAACTTGTGTATTAAATCTAAGCATCAAAATTATCAAATAAGACAAAATATAGGAACATGATTATAAGATTTTGGGCCCGTAGTAGAACATGGGTCCACATAATGAACGTATGCATCTTCAGTACTATCCCTACTCTTTTATTATTCAGCATACAGAAAATTACTTAATTTATCAGTTCCTTTTTTACATTTAAAATTATTTAAATAAAATCAAACATATAATATATTCAGAATTCAATCTATTCAACAGATCTAACCCATAATCGAGATCCACACTCAGTCAATCAGCAGCATAACAATAACAAGGAAGATTATTAAGAAAAACAGCTAAACTTATCTTTTTAAGGAGCAAATGATCAGTAAAGTGGCGGGTACGATTCCAGTTTGGCGTGGCGACACATCATCATCACATTCACTGGGAATGCAATAACCCACGCCACAAATGGAGAAAGTTGTTTCGGTATGGAAACGATAAAAGACAGACATTATTGCCACACAAAAAAAGTGAGCTGTTCCTTTTGTTCATTCATTTTTGTTTTCCAATTCATACGTACAAGTCAAGGCCAGTGAATCATCGTCACTCAATTACTCAAAAACAGTTGAGGAATAGCAGTAGGAATTTGGCACTATTCTCACCTGAGATCCGAGACTTTCTCGTAACCTTCGTCTCTCAATCTTGTATCGGAAGCTTTGCTAAATTTCTGCAAAAACAAATAGATTTCGATTTCTTTTTTCTCAAATTAAAAGAGTGAAATATTGAAGTTCAAGATGAATAATCGAATCGACGCTGATACTGATACGAGTTGTAACTTTGAAACGAATAAAATCTGGAAAAGTTTAAAGAAAAAGTCCTTTGACTTGCACCGGAAATCATCATCTAATAAACTCTTCATCTTTCAACTCGTTTTCAGTGGAGGAGTTGGAAAACAAAAACCACATAGAACTCCAAAGCATAAAGAAAAGATCTAAGCTAATCTTATGATAAAGAAAAGAAGTTAATCAAAGTACAAATTCATTGCATGAAAAAGAAAAGAGAGGAACAATTGAACTAAAATTCAAATACAAAAACCGATCGAACTTCATTTTTTTATTGAAACTGAAGTTTTAAGTAATCAAAGGAACGAAGTAAGTGATGATTAATCAGTCGACGAACAAAGATTACCTCAGAATCAGAGCTTCAAAACTTGATTAAGACGAAGAATCTGAAAAACGGAGAGAGTTTTTTTTTTGTTTGATAAATGGCAAAAAGAATTCTTGTATGTTCTTTTTTTTTTAACCAAATAAGGGACGGAATGGACTTTTCCTTTATGCTGATAATAATTAACTGCCCTTGCCTTTGTTATTTTATTTCAGTTATGCCCTTCAATTTCTCGTCACAAGAGATGATCAGATGAATTCAATACACCACATTAATAGGAAAAACTCTAAAGTAACCCTCTATAAATATATTAAAATAATAAATAAAGTTTGATTTTTGAGGGTGTGAAATAATTTTTTAAGATAACTTCTAAAATATTATATAAAAAATTAACAAGATGAAGTTGAATTGGACTTTTTTCGACTCAATTTGTTAAGGTCTCGAGTCGAGCTCGGGTTCAAATCGAGTCAACCGGAGTTAGATTTTTATCGAACTTTGACCGAGTTGAATTCGAACTACTCAAGAGTCGCTTAACGCATTAAGCGCCCCTAATTTTAGTGGGGGATAAAACAAAATTCAAACTTCTTGTTTCTGAGGCTTGAATCGATCATAGCAGCCGTTGTGATTGTCGATCGACTGGCAGAGCGCTCTAACGGCTACCCATTTTTCGTCTTCCTACCCAACAATACTTCAGCTTCTCAAATGCTTTCGCTAGAGTCTCGTCTCGAGCTCCGCCTGGCTTTCAACAGCTTCGGCTTTTCTTCGGAACTCGAAACCTTCTCCTTCAACAACTCGTTTTCCTTACCAACATCTGCTAACATCACATCCATATTCGTCTGTCCGGTTTCATTAGCCTTATCTGTATCGATGCCATCGGCAGAAACGAGCTCGTCTTCGACATTTGAAGCGCCAGTCTGGGAATTTCCAGACTCGGTCATGGTCCATTAATCCAGAACAGTATATGCTTCAGGGCGGTTAGACAAGTTGTATATATATGTACCTTGTATACATTTGTTATTCATGAATATACAGCAATTCGTCCAGATTTTATACTTCTTTTATTTGACACATACAAGTAGGGATGGCAAACTGGCGGGTCGGGTGTAGATATCCCTCTCCATCCCCATATCCATCTAATATTTTTCAATCTACCACCCGCCCACTACTCATGATAGGTAAAAATTTTCAAATCAACATCCGCTCACGCAGGTACATTCTCAAATCCATCCTCACTATCCAACTAGAGATGTATCCGACTAGACCCGCTTGACAACAAACTTAAGTTATACATAAACAACAAACACATAAATAAAACTAGTACTTACTCATTTTACCCTAAACTGATATCAAGTAGTCTAAGCTCCATTCCAATCCGAATTTCAGTACGTTTCCACAGTTTCGATAAGTTTTGAACTGTTCCAACCAGTATCAATGCATGCATATTGATATAAGATTTCGACATTTTAACTAAAAAAACGAGTATTTTATTATGCAATCCCTTCCAACATCCTAAGACAGTGAATCCTTTATACCAAAAACACCATAAAATCCAACATCATTTGAAGATCAACAGAAACTTGATAGTAACATATGAAATTGAGAAATACGTAGAACCCAGACTGCCTTTGAAGATCGGCGCAATAATGAAAATGAGAGGTTTGAAAGGAAAAAAAATTATGCATAAACTTAACTTATCCCTAATATTTAGTTAAATAACAAGTTATATCTTATACAATATTAGGATTTATAAATTAGTATCTAAAATTACACCTAAATTCATAATGTCCAAAACGTAATGGATATTTAGTTGGGCGGGTGGATGTGGGGTGGGCGGATGCGGGGCGGGTAAGGTGTCAAACCCATTACCCGCCCACTACCCACGATGGGTACCACTTTCTAAATCCACACCCGCCCACTACCCACTAAAATTATACCCATCCTCACCCCAATTGGAGCGGGTGCGGTGCAAAATCCACGAAATTGTACCCGTTTGCCATCCCTACATACAAGTGTCTAAAATCACAAACGTTATCCTTTTAGGTGCTCAAGTAGTCAATGACGTTAGTTTTATCCCATTAAATGAAACATGTCACGATATAGTAATTTTAAATTTTTTTTTTAAATATTAAAATAAACGATGGAAGGGGAAAAAAAAGGCATTCTTCGTGTCAAACACAACAAAGAACAAACATTAGCAACTCGATGTCCTGAAAAAGAAAAATGGATTTGAAAATTTGAGAATCTTCAACCAATGTACACACTTGACCTATCTGCAGTAAGAATTCATTAACGGGGAACCCCAATTATTCAACCGATGTCATTTTCTTAAAGCAAAAGCAGCCAGCCCCCACCCTGTTGAATCTCAAACATGACAGTTGCGGCCACCATTTGATTAACCCAACCATCAAATGTTTATCTAATCACAAGATTTAAATCAACCTGAATATGACTATTTTTTTAGAACGAAACAAATTCAAACTTATTTTCTCTTCGTTTTCTATCCCGATCTCACCGACAACCATGGTTTCAAATAACGTCCACTACTGCGTTAGCGCCCGTGATTTCGTAGTAGTGCTGCCTTCCGCTACACCCGTAACAGCGCCCAATAGCATCCGTGACGGCCGCAATCACAATAGAAAGAAATAACCGAAAACGCGACCGTGACCGCGATTTGAAACTCTGCCCTCAACCGTTGAAATTCTTTTGTTCCGTTTAATCAGAAAATTAGATTGAAAACAAATCTTACCTGGAGACTGAAGGAGAATATTCTTTCTGCGGATCAAAATGCAGTGACAAGTGATAAAATATTCGGAAAAAATAGGTCAAGATTAATAATAAATTAGGGTGAAGTACACATCTAGTACCTAAACTATTACTTTTATTCCGTTTTAGTACCTAAACTTTTATTTTTTTCAGAATTATATCTAACGTTTACCTTCTGTTTCATTTTAGAACACCCGCCGTTAAAAAATTAGGTACTAAAATGAAACAAAAAGTTAAAGACGGGGTACTAAAATAAAACAAAAAGTAAATATTATGTGTGTTTGTGAAAAAATTGAAAGTTTAGGTATTAGAACGAAAGAAAAGTGATAATTTAGGTACTAAACATGTAGTTTACCCTAGAAATCATTCACTGATTTGCTCTGTTTAATTGTTTTAGGGTGGAGGATTTGTCTTGGGCTGGCTGGTCCCTGAGAATGAATTTTTTGGCGCCTCTTTTGAATCAATTGCCCTTTGATTTCGGTTTTTATTACTACACTAATAAATTATAGCCAATAGAGGGGGGGGGGGGACGCGATAATTTCGTCGATTCAAATATAATTGCCTAAACTTTCGGTACCTATAATATACGGTTATGAAAATGCGTTATTAATTTTTTTATTATTTTTTTAATAAAATTAATAAAAAATTAATTAAAATATTATTATTTATTCCTAAATCATTAATATTTTTTAAAAATTCCGGTAAAGTGATCAATAATAACAAAATTAGTAGAAAAAAATAAAACAAAACTGGTAGTGTTTTATCGGATTTGTTAATAAAACCGGTAAAACGCCCAATACTAACAAAACCGATAGAAATAATAATATTTTTGATAATTTTTTACTAATTTTGTTAAAAAATATAACAAATCCAATAAGTCTTTTTTATCTTTATATTAAAATTATTGCACGTGATTATTTTTTTAAAATTCCAACATTGGCCCACGTGTTTGATGTCCCGCGCTTTTGTTTTTTTGGTCTTGTCTTAATTAACTTTAAATTAAATAAAAAAATGTTAATATTAAATTAGTAATAATCAGGTAACTGATTCATATATCAATAAACATGAATAAGGGGAAATGATAAGTTTGGTATTTAAATATTTTTTCTCCCAAAATCATACATAATTTTAAGTTTAAATTTCAATTTTAGAACTATACTGGTAAAAAATTAACAGAATTACTGACATGATGTTTTTATTTTCTCAATGATGACATTATATTATTTTATTATGATATGTCAATATCGTCGTTCATATTTTTATTAGAATTTATTAAATGATCTTAGTGATAAATGAAAAATGTCTTTTTTCAACCAGTTTGGATTTGAATAATTGCCCCTGCATGATGTGTGTGAGTTGTTATAGACTAAAAAGTTTAAATAATATTATCATGTACTTATCTCTATTTATTAAAAATATATGTTTTTACTAAACTCAAAAATAAAATTTATAATTATTAGATAACATAATTATTCAATACTTAAGTTTTAATAATATATCAAATAACAATCCAACTTTTTATTATTTTATTTTGTTTAACTGGTGGCGACACAAGTTTTAATGCTAGTTGTCGCCCACAGTTTTTTTTAGTTTTATTAATAAGAGTAATTATTTTTTTGACATGTTCTGTACCTTTATGGTACGTTTAACTCTGTCTTTGTGACATGTTTTTCTTTACCTTTTGATAACTTACAGTTTTTTGTCGTTATTTTTGTTTATCTTTTTTCTCAGGGTTTGATTTGACATCGTCATGTCTGATCAAGATGGCGCTTAGTTGTTATCATGATGATCTTCTTTACTTTGGACCCTCAAATTGATTTAGATACATTTTTTGCGTTCGTAGATAATTTTCCCACGTCGTTTGACTCTGATTTGTGATTTGTCGGTGGTCTTTTAGTAGCTTCATCTCCTTTGGTGGTTCGTTTACTGATACAATCATATTCGTTCGTATCTTTATTTTATTCGAGTTTTTTTTGTTACGTTTTTTAACATTTTCCTTCTTTGGTCCTTAAGTGATCTAGGTGACTGGTTTTTGTCTCAATGGTAATAAGAAAATGTCATAATTATATTTTATGTTTACGGTTATGCTTGTAAATCTTCATTGTAATTTTGGATATTTTCTATTTTTAATAAAACTAACGACTTTCAATCAAATATATATATATATATATATATATATATATATATATATGAAATAATTTATTATACAAATTCAATATTTATTAAAACTTTATTACTTAAATTGTTTTCATTTATCAAATGATACTCTCATTTTAGGCCTTGGTAATAGTACATCTAGACCATAAATCCTAGTCGTCCTCTTTATGTAATTGTAGCCATAGGATACAAAGTGGTTTTGTTTATGAGAAAATAACCTCAGTGACCAAAAATCCCAGATAATATACGATTTTGATCAACTTTTTTTTGGATTTGCGAAAATGACCAACAAAATCGCAATGCGATCTCTAATTCGCATTGCGATCTCCACTATCGCAAATTCGCGTTGCATTTCGCGTTGCGATTTTCCAGTTCGCGTTGCGATAGTCTACAGTTGTCGTTGCGATTTTCAAAATTCGTTGTGATAGTCTACAGTTGTTGTTGCGTTGCGAAAATTCGTTGTGATAGTTAAAAAAAAGATTTTGTTTCTTAAGAATTTTCTCTAAAAAGATAGTATCCGCGCGGACGTGTCAAAGACACGTATTACCACGACCACGACACCACGACCACGACCACGACGGCGGCGGCGCGCAAGAGTCCCCCTTGTTCTCTATCACTCAAAAAGGAAATGGGAAAGTCAAGCCTTAAATACCATTCTCAATAGTGTTTCCAATACTATGTGGGATTGAGCATTACCAACACTTGTTTCCAATACAATGTGATTATTCAGGAAACAATTAACAATCATGCACCTTAAAACAACTGAATCAGCAACCAATTGCATTAGTATTATACGATTAAATATGTCATAATTAAAAGTCAATCTACAATCAATCGCGATTATTGCAATTTTAAGTAAAACATTCAAAAATAATATCACTATTTAAGGCTCAATCCCACATAGTATTGGGAACAAGTGTTGGTAATGCTCAAATCCCACATAGTATTGGAAACACTATTGTGAATGGTATTTAAGGCTTGGCTTTCCCACTTCCTTGTTGAGTGATAGAGAACAAGGGGACTCTCGCGCGCTATCGCCGCCGCCGTCTCGTCTCGTGGTCGTGGTCGTGGTCGTGGTCGTGGTCGTGGTCGTGGTCGTGGTAATACGTATCTTCGACACGTCTGCGCGGATACTATCTTTTTAGAGAAAATTCTTAAGAAACAAAATCTTTTTTTTTTAACTATCGCAACGCGAAATGGAAAATCGCAACGCGATTTCTAACTATCGCAACGCGAATTTGCGATAGTGGAGATCGCAATGCGAAATGAAAAGATCGCATTGCGATTTTGTTGGTCATTTTCGCAAATACAAAAAAAAAATGGTCAAAATCGTATATTATCTGAGATTTTTGATCACTAAGGTTATTTTCTCTTTGTTTATTTATAGGAGATACCTTACCAATATAAAGTCTCGGTATACATAGCATGTTTATAGCGTTGTCCTAACATCCTTTTGAAGCTCTAAGTAGTATATCAAAGTCTATATATAAAATAAATATACATAAAAAAAGTTTATATACAATATATATTTACAAAACTCAATTATAAATTTATGGTTAAACAAAATTAACCTAAAATCTAAACCTAAACGTAAACAAAATCTATATAAGTCGGGTTAATCGGTGAACCATGTGACCTAAAATAATCTAGGATAAGATTAATGCGTCCAAATCAATGATTAACATATCTTCCCAAAAGACTAAATAAGAATAGAAGGCTGAATTCGAAACCCATTTTCATTCAAATCAAATGTTATATCTAAGGTAAGCAGGGACGGACGCAATATTCTATGTTAGAGGAGGCGAACTTGAACTTATAAAATTTTAATGGCGAAAATAGATTTTCAACAGAAAATACATAGAAAAAAATTTAAAATATATATTAATTTTAGATTTTCAGGAACGTCCCCGCCTAGGTCAATCCCTGAAGGTATCGTCAACGTTCAACAAACTATAAATAAGAACAATTAAAGAAACAATCGTCATGAAGATGATATATCGAGAAGCAAATGTTGCGAACTTTTCTCCGAAAGTTTCCTTTACTATTTTTGATAACTACTAAACTGTTTTATTGGAAATTATTCATATGGATTCCTATGGTCCTGGGTAGTTCTGCTTTACGCCAGTCTTAATATACGGCTAAGAAAATGTCCTACCGGAAATATTAATATTTTTTTAACATTTTCGGTAAAACGTTACCTAAAACATTATTTTTTTACTGGAAATGTTAATTTCACTAACTAATTTTCTGTATAACCCAATATTAATATTTTTGGTAGAAAAAAATAATGTTTTAGGTAGCGCTCTACCGAAAATGTTAAACATTTTAGGTAGCGCCCAATATTAACATTTTCGGTAGAAAAAAAATAATGTTTTAGGTAGCACTTTATCAGAAATGTTAAAAAATATTAACATTTTTGGTAGCACATTTCTTTAGTCGTATATTAAGATTGTCGTACCTAAGACATCCCCTGTGGACCTCATTTTCCTCTGTTAAATAGTTAATTGTAATGGATTTTGCCTCCTTTATATTAAAAAAAACAATCATCACAATGCAATTATTAGACAAAGAGTTAATTACTCCCTTCAAACATAAAGTATATCAAATTTTCAATTTTATATATAATGTTTTAAAATTCTCGATTCTTAATAAAATCGATATATTTACATATTTAGTCTTTATTACTTACATATTCTATTAAATTAATTATAATTTTAAATTAAATAAATTTAATTATCTAATTATATAAAATATGTAACTCCATTTATACATTAAGTATATCATATTATCAGTTTCATACAGACTATGTTATGCAGCCCTCTCAACCACTGCGCCAACAACTCGAACCTTAATCTATTATGAAATATAGTAAAAAAACTTATACTCACAATTCAAAATAAATATTATTAATTAATTAAAATATTAAATTTTATTTTAGATCTTATTTTAACTACATTTTAAAATACATATAATATGTATTTAATTATTAACTAATTATTAGCATGTATTTAATTATTAATTAATAATATCATTTTTTATAAACAAAAGTATACGAATCATTTATATTTTAATTAATTTTTATTGGATTATATAATTAAAATGTGTAATTAGAAGTCAATTTTAATCTTGTACAAATCTTAAATTTATTTTTTTAATCTGGTATGAACTAGTGTTTAACGACACAAACCTTGGCTTATTATGAAATATAAAAAAAAAAAAACTTAGCCACCAGATGCAATTATTAGTTAATAATTAAATACATGTTATATATATATATATTTAAAAATGTAGTTAAAATAAGATTTAAAACAAAAATAAATTTATTATTTTATATTTTAAATTAAATTTAATATTTTTAATTAGCTAATAATATTTATTTTAAATTATAAGTTTTTTTATATTTCGTAATAGGCTATGAGATTTGTTTTGCTGTTACTTTGTTTTCCTTTTATTTTTCGTCTTCTTTATAATATAAGTTAAATATTAAATGTTGTGAAACATTAGCTAAAAATTGCTACTGGCGCAGTGGTAGAGGGATGTTTAACTCCTTGGAGACCGGTGCTGTGTGTCACGTATTTTCATATAAATGTATAATTATATTAATTTTATTAACCGTCACATTAACACATTCAACATAACTAATTTTATAAAAATGTATAAGTAATGTTTGATTAAATATATTTTTTAAACACGTTCGTTAGACATTCTTGTTTTTTATGGTGATTAATGGGTGCCAATGGCTGTTGCTGTTGCTGCTAGATTGCCGTCCGCTGCAAACAGGGTTCGAGATCGATGGTTGTGTAAGTTGTCCCGTTTGGTCTCGATATGCATTGTGGAAATTCTTGAGGCAATCCTGTTCATTATGTTGATTAAATGCTGCTAATCTGAGGTATGGCCTGGTGTTGCTGCTGTCATTCGATGCCGGGGTCTAGTGAAGGAAGCTGAAACGAACGTCGAGCGGTTTTCTCGGATTATCCCAGCACTATGTACCCGGTTCAATGCCGATGATCTAGTAGATGGTCCATTTGATACCCCTACAATTGTTGAATAAATTGTTCAGTTCATTATCCCCACATAGTATGTATAACCTCAACTATATATACCCAAACACCATGATTGGAAAAGAAAGTGATAAGTGATACATCTAACCTGGACTTTTCTTGGCCTTCACGTTAGTGTTTCTCTTTGTGCTTACAACTTTCTTCTCTGGAGTCTTGGTGGAAATTTGTCTCTTCGGTGGTGTACGAAGTTGGATCGGTCGCCTTTCCGGAACCTCGCTGTAGAATGACCTGACATCCGAATAAACAGACTTGGTATCCGAACCACGAGATTTGACATCAGAACCAATGGACGTTCTATCACTTGTTCCTGTCGATGGATCATCTATTATAGAAACATTGTCATCTCTGCAAGTAGAGGTCACTTGGCTCGTTAACTCGCTGTTTTTATCCTTTGCGTTCATAACTGTTCGGTCTTTCTCAGCGAGCCGATAAGCAAACATTTGGAATGGAATTTGTGCAACTGAAAGTGGATTGAAAGTCCTATTTGCAGTGAATCTTTTTGCAAACCATGACTCGATCTCACAATAATCTGCAATGGGACATTGCATTTCGGGATGATCATGGCCGGGGTTCATCACAAGGAACTTCTTGATGTAGCGCAAAATCCGGCAAATTGATGAGAAACTCGGTCGCTGATTCGGATCCGTTTGCCAACACTTTTTCGTTAAGTTGACAAGATATTTTGGCGCTGTACAGGGAAAAAGAGGCCTCTCCCCTGCAATGATACTTATACTCATCTTCTCTTCATGTCCTTCGAATGGCGGTTTTCCAGACAAAAGCTCAAAGCAAAGCATCCCGAAACTGTACACATCTGCCTTCTCTGAGTACTTAAAAACGGAGGAGCCATTGCATGTTTTCTCTTGTTCTAGCATAACTTCCGGAGCATACCAAATGGTAGGGTTGGGCTCATACCTCCTTGGCGATGCGTTCGGGGATGAACGAGGCTTGACATCGGATAAACCGTAACCCGAGATCTTCAATTGGAAACAGCCTTCGGTGTTCCTAGCTTTTAGAAAGATGTTAGTAGGGTTCAACTCTCCATGATAAATCTTCTTTGAATGCAGATATTCCATTCCTCTTGCAATCTGAAATATAAGATCGACCAAAACATAAAGAGGGAACAAGATCCGCCTTCTCGAACCATAATTCTCCTTCAAATAACAACCAAGATCCTTGTTCATCAGTTCGAGAACAAGCATCACTTCTTTCTTTTCTTCGTCGTAAAATCCGCAAAGGTATTGCAGTAAATTCGGATGAGTAAGTGAGAGCAATGTCGTGATTTCGGGACACGACGGTTCAACATCCCCAAAGAAGCTTCTCAACACAAAGTTATCTCCCAACCACTGGATTTCCTTATATTGCCCCCCTAATCTTCGCCTTACTTGGTAATCCCCTCCGTACAAGATTGAACCAGGGAAAAGTTTACCATTATAAGCCTCTGATCCGATAATTTTCCGAATTAACAAGCCAGCGAGCTGCTCTTGGTTTTTCGTTACCGAATCCGAACACTTCTTCTCCCTCAGAGCTTCGACAAGGTTCCATCGATCCTCCCTCCACGCACTCTCGAACCGGCTACAGATCTCTCGAGGGATCAAATACTGCTTTCCAAACCGGAACTGAAAAAGTTTCGGATCAATCCATTCGGCATCGTACTTCCTTGCAAGTGTAACTCTCCTCCTTTGTATCTCATCCTGGTTGAGCCCTGCAATCTCTCCGGCCATCTCGATGGCCTCGATGACTGCCGGGAAATGACAAAGCAAATTGTGGATGTGATTATCGACGGAGTCCTTGTTTTGATGGAGATTAATTGCCTTAACCCACCACTCTCTCTTGTCCATACATTGTCTCACATACGACTCCCCTTCTTTAAAGATTCTTTGAAGCTCTCGCAAAGGGCCCTCGAGGGGACTCCATTTCGAGTTCTTTTCTTCGAGATTCAGGCTCAGCTTGATCTCTTCGGCGATTACATCGAAAGCCAGACCGAAGACATCCAACAACAGACGGCACTGTCGTCGATTGATTTGAAGCTCGTCTTGTAAGACAATGAGAGCTCTTAAACCTCCCAAAACCTCACCGATTTGTCTGAATTCCTCCATTGCTATAGAACACAAATGGTGCTGTCCGAATTCTGGAGATTGAAGCACCAGAATCAAACAGCCCCAAATCTCTCCTGATCTGGAAACATCATTTTATAAACAAAATCGTCGGATCCTTGTCATTGAGAACATTAATCAAACACATAATCTTCATGCAAAATACAAACCTGTCGTTGGTAAATTACAATGTCCAACGCCAATCCAATTCAGAAAACCACAATAGCAATGGTTCCTTTTGGATTCCTTGCAATCCAAACACTTGGATTTTATCTATGGAGAACCCATCTTCATTCCCTAGAAAAAAGGAACATAAAACAAACAATTAACAATCACAATGAAAACCAACAAACAAAAAGAAAAAAGGGAAAATAAACCCAGAATCCATATTCTTTTTGCTCTTAATTTGATTTCTCTGGAGTTTGGGAAAACAAAATTTTCAGGTAAAAAAACAGAAACCATCAAAAAATTAAAAAATACAAACATGTCCCCGATTTCTTTGCAGTCTTTGCGTAGACGTGTTCCCGCTATGTTCGTTTTCTTTTCCCTTCTTTATAAAACTGTTGCAGTTTCAAAGCTGTGACCGTTGTGTTGTCGGCGAAATAACTTTGAAAGTCGGTTAATATTCGGATTACCTCCGCCATTGTTTCATTAAATTTCAGGGTAAATTAAAAAATTAAAGACCGTACTTTCTTATCACTTCTATTTCAATGACTATACTTTAAAAAAATTTAATTTAATAACTTAAATTTTAAACTTCAGTTTTTGGGTAAATTACAAATTTCATCTCTAAATTTTATACTCTCCAATTTTGCTCATTGGACTTTAAAAGCTTTCAATTTTCTCGTTAAACTTAATACATTGAATTTTTTTGGCTCCGCCTTTAAATAGTTAACACATCGTTTAAAAAATAATAATTTTTTTACCAAAACGACATCGATGGATATCGATGGAGGATCCGAACCAATTGAGTCAAGATCCGATTAACATCGGTGGTAATGCTTGCAACTTTTATCCATAGTCCTACCATTGCTGCTTCTGTAAGTAATACTGATACCAGTCTCGTACAGTTAGATTCGGCTGATGTTAATCCTCCTGTGTCGTCGAAGAGAATGAAACCCTCCCTCCGGTGACGATAAAGTTCTGAGGATTTTGAATCATCAACCGAAGAAGAATCAAAACCGTAGGATTTTGAATATGATCGGTCCTTAGTTTGCAGTCTCTAACCACATAGCCAACTCTTCCTTACTCCAAATTCTTGGTCAAGAGCCTGATAAGCCCCGTACTGATCATATTCTTGACATCTGTGTGTCTCATGGTGTTCAATGGCCTCCGCTTCTTGAGGCCCTGTCTCGTCGTTCTGAAGGGCCACATCCTCTGGTTCGCATCATCGTCAAATACATTTTATTAATGTAACATTTTTTTGACAGTCTATGACTATAATGGGAGATAACTCCAATAGCACAACCACTCTCCAGACCATGGAGCTCGGACATAAAAGCAACTCGGATAAACTATAACATACAACTTACAGCTTGGAAGCTGCATCCTTGTCCAAAAACCAAACCGACTCCCTTATGGCAAAAACATCTAAACAGGCATGTACCGTGCCGGCTTTACCAGCACCACAGAGCATGACTGCAATGTTAGCAGATGAGTTGATATCCGGAAAGTGAAATGATTCTCTTTGTGGGAGGATTGAAAAAAGTAACCACGTTTCGTTCTCCTTGACCAGAGGGTGGCTGGTTTTAATGGAGGTCCTAAAAAGTGGGTGGTTTTAATATTAAAATAAGCCACATTATCAAGTTGTATCATGAAGTCGGAAATATAGTAAACAAAAAGCAAAATGCGTCGACAATATCATTCGACGATCTCAAGTCTTGGTTCACAGAAACATGGAATCCAAGTGTAATATCATTGTCACTAACACCATGGAAATGAGTCTAAATATTTGTAAAGAACGCCTAATAACGCCCGAATATATTGTACTATAGGTTAAACATAGGTGCACTTATCATTTCAGTTCATGGCATCATAATCATCAAACTTCTCATTGTATTCCAACACCTTCCTACGAATCTTCGATGTGTCTACCCATGTAATGAAGTCTTCCATGTTCCTTGTTACAAGGAATGCCGGGTCTGTAACTGTATCTGGACCGACTCGTATATGTCCCTGCTCGATATATGTGACTGCTTCTTTCAAGTGCTCCGCAAACTTTAGGTGCACCAAAACAGTTGAGAGCCTACGCCTGGAAGCAGAGAATATAAATGGGGTAAACATATGAAGGGAGCAAGGCACGTGAAGAAATTTCTGGTGTAACAGAAAACATGCTTTCACACGAGCATCATTCGACTTCACGGATTATGCACTTGCGGTAAGTATTTGCTTACCTACAAAATGATGATACAGATAACCGATCACATAGAGCCAAGCTCTTCCTGGTTGGGATTACGCCCATATTGTATCTGCCAACGATAGGAAAACAACATATGAATCAAGTCTTTTTGTTTAAGATACGCAAACTCGAGCCAACAAATCCGAAATCTCACATCCTGATATTCGACTAAGTTCATTATCTAAAACATGGAGCAAAGTTAAAACAAAAGCAAACACTACCCTAGAGTAATTACATGCTCATCTCGATGTTAACAATATGAAATATTCATTAGAACATCTGCAATATAATTTCTCGCCAAACATTAACTGCTACCACAACTCAAGAAAAGAAAAATAGATGCTGTCATGCCCTAATGGAATTGCCCACATTAACTAACCTAAAATAGAAATTGAAAAGTTATAATTTCGTTTACGACTAAATCATATTCCAATCAAGAAATACCCACAGTTTCTCCAACAGCAAATCGGTCATCTCGATTCGAAAAGGGTCTCGGGGATCCATCTGCTTCAATATATTCACCAATTTCTGCACCATCCGGCACAAACTCGAATATCTGTTTTCAATTTCAACCCCGCCTAGTTAATACATATATATATATATATATAGGTATAGACACTAAAAATAAAAAATTAGCAATGAACTCAATTGAAGAGTGAAGTATTGAGAAATTACTGACTTCTTATAATCGTCGCGACCAGTGACATGATAACGGTGCATGATGAGATTCTCTCGGTGGCCGCCTTCTCTTTTCCATTCCAAGAAATTTACTTTCTTCAACAGCTTTTTCTCGTGAAACTTTAGCTTCCTCATACTTCTTTACTAAGATCGTTAACGAGAGAAAAAAGAAAACAAGAGAAAAACAGAAGTTTGAGACTATCTGACCCCAAAAGAGCGTCTAAGACGCGGGGAGTAGGTGGGCGAGTAGAAAATCGTCTCCGGCGAGTTGAACGCAGCGCAGTACCGGACGCCCTCCCAGACAAGCTACAGCGTTAGGGATAAAAGAAGAAGAAGAAAACAGGTTGAATAAGGAATAGAATAATATAGTGCAGCAAAAACGGCAGAAGAAAAGAAGTGCGGCACATTAGGGTTTCTTAACCCTAACACACACTATTATTCAGCCTAAATCTATATAATCCAATTTTAATATTTATTTATTTATAGCAAGCCCATTAGGGTTTCTTCATTACTTGCTTGCTTTTAATCAAAATATTTTTATAATAAAAAACATTATTTTTATAATATATTTATGCTTTTCTTAATTAATTAATTTAATAATACATATTAAATTAAATAATATTTACTTTGTAAAATTTTATTAAATATAAAATTTAATTTTTATAATGATTTATAGAGTTATTTAAGATTTTAAATCGATAATAAAATTAATTTATAACATTAAAATAAATAAAATAATAAAATTAAATATAATTTTCTAAGCTCAAGCTCGGGCGGAGATATAATGAAAGTTCTCATGCTTGGTCTATTATGCTATTATACCAATTTTCACTCTCAAGTTTTATCGAATATTCACGAACATAAATAAATGAACAAATTATTTGTTCTGTTCGTTCATTTAATTAAACGGATGCATTTTTTTCATTTTCATTCATTTAATAAATAAACGAACATTACCGAAGTCCTCACCCAAACGATTGACAACAATTCACTGAATGTTGGGTTTGTTTACGTGCCTAAAAGCTGCAGCCCGCAACTCATTTTGGTATTTCAGTTAGGAACTTGAAATGAGTTTAGATTGAACTAAATTGCGATCCTCATTATAATTTTAAGATCATTTTGAGCCATACATTTTGGGTGTAACTCCCCATTTAGAATAATCATTTTTATATAAAATAAATAGTAAAATTATATATTAATTTTGATTGACTATAATATGATAAAAATGAATAAATATATAAAATGATTAATGTTAATAGAGCTGATGTGGGGCGTATTTTAGGTGTCTCTAGCTCTGTGAATCCGGAGAAATACTTGGGTTTGCCTGCGATCGTCAGTCGTAACAAGAAAGTGGCTTTTATTTATCTTAGAGAAAAACTCACTTCCAGAATCAATTCGTGGAGTGTTCGGATTCTGTCTCAAGGACGTAGGAAGTTTTCATTAAGTCGGTTTTTGCAGGCGATTCCTTTATTTGCTATGTGTTGTTTTCTACTCCCAAAAAGCCTGTGTTCAGAACTAGAAGGCGTGATTGCACGATTATGGTGGCAGAAATCTCCGAAGAAGAAAGGCATTCACTGGTGTTCGTGGAAGTCTCTTTGCAATTAAAGAGGACGGTGGTTTAGGCTTCCGAGACCTTGGAAAATTTAATATCGTCTTACTAGCGAAGCAGGGGTAGAAGCTTTCAAATGATACTGGATCTTTGATGAATCGATAAGTTCGGGCTAAATACTACTCGAATACTGATTTCTGACATGCTCAATTGGGTTCGCTCCTGTCGTACATTTGGCATAGCATCTGGAGTGCTAATAAGGTTCTGAGATGGGTATTCGTTGGCGAGTCAGTTCGGGCGCAACTATATCCATCTGGAACGATTTTTGGTTACCGACGTTTCCATTATCACAGGTTGAAAGCCCACGAGTTGATCATTTAAGATGGGTTTGCTAACTTAATTTATCATAATACAAATTCTTGGAACACAAATATAATCCAAGATGACTTTTCT